TCTTTGATTTAAATTAGTTGGTTAATTAAATGCCTACAAGAAAAAAATTGTTTGAGCTAAAAATAAAGTGAATGCAAATTAATGACAGTATACAACTATAGTTTTATCAATAGTTGTATCCTAAATTGAAAAGAAAAAATTAACACTCCGCAATAATTAATTAAAAATTTTGTCTATTTAAGCATTTACAAATTTAATTTTTACTTGTCTGGAATTACTTAACTGGAATTTTCAAAAAAGGTTTTCTAAGGAATAAAAAATGAAAGGACAAAAATTGAAATGAAAGAAAACTTAATTTCTCCTGAAATATTTTTAAAGTGTACTTAAGTTAATCTCAGAAACACAATTTTTTAAATTTTAAAGGCAAAATCTTACATTGAGTTTTAAAAACACTATTACACCAATCTACACCCAAAAGTCCCAGAATAAATCTAAAATTTTCAATTTTGCAGAGAAAAGATTTAAGTTTTGATTGGCATATAATAATTATTGTACTTTTTTGATATAATCATAGAAGTTTCAAAATAAAGTCAAACAAATTAACAAAACGAGTATTTCAATAAAATAGATAGAAAATTAACAACTTTAGTGTACATTTATAAATATTAAATACAAATAACAGATATCATAGCAAAGAAAAAAAAATTGAAACAAGATACTATGGGGAAAATGCTTAAAGATGATTTAAAAACTATTCTTCTATAATTAACAGTTTTTATCATTATAGAAATTTGAAACTTATTAAATAGATTTGTAAAAATCAATATTAAATCTAGATAAAAGAAGTTTTTAAAAATCAAACATTAGTATTATGCACTTTAGTGCATAGTTCAGATGCCAGAAGTTCACATATCACCACCTGCCCTATGATCTAAGTTGCTGAAGTGTAGCGCGTGCTTGTGCCGCTACTTAATTAGGATAATCAAAAATGCCTACAAGTTAAACACAATTTTGATGTTATGTTACAACCAAAACTGTTAAGCATTTCTAGTATATTTTAACTATAAAAGCAATTAAACAACATAGCTATTGTATATTTCGTACGAACATAAAATCTAATAAATGTTAAAGAAAACTTTATGATTTATAAAATATGACTGATACAGTAAATTATTTTTAATAATAACTGTCTCTACAACAGTACTTTTCAAATGTTAATGGTTAAAATAAATAGTTTTATAATATACTAAATCAATCTCACCTTCTGAGTATTTCTTTGAATAGACAACAAAAGAACTTTGCTTCTAATCATGATATGAGAAAATATTCAAAGCTAAAATTTAAAAAAAGTCATCAATTAATTAACAGTTTTTGAATAAATGCTATCAACAATAAAATAAAGCTAGCATTTAGAAGTTAATAAGAATAGTATATCTGGGTTTCTACTTAATTTCAGAAAAAAAAATCATTGACTTTTACAGGTATTCCAGGAAAATTTCAATGTCAATCCAGCCGAAATTTATCTATATCATGCAATTTTTCATCAGAAAACTTTGATTTTTTTTATTTGTGATATAAATATTAGATTTTGCGAGAAAAAAAATTTAAATGAGGTTGGAAACATGGAAAAGTTGCACTAACATGTGGGAACTGTTACAACAAATAATTTTAATAAATGTCAGAATTAAATTGAATCTAAACAACAGATTATTGATACTGAAAATTCTGCGATTGATAATTTCTATGTATGCTGTAGGAATTTTCCAGGTTTTAGTAAAAAAAATGCAACTTTCCCTGGCTATTCCATGTTCCTGAGAGTCAAAATAAAATTCACTGACAATTTGAGGTTTGCCTTGTCTACCCTGACTTGTGGGAGCCCCAATATTTAACATTTTTCATAATGACTACCTGTAATATAAATGTTAAAAATCTTTTTAAAAAATTGCCTAAATTCAAGTGTCTATTCAAGCCTCTATTCAATTAATTATCAAGATCAAGAAGATCAAAAAAGGAGTTAAAAATCAAAAATTAGTCTACATATCAAGAGCAGACACAGAATTATTGAAGACAGCATGGGAAATTGACATAGAATTAGCAAGTAAACAAATCAATAGAAATTCATGGTAAAAAGAATAATTTTGATACCACAACATTGCTAATTTAGCACTCATTATTGATAATCAAGAGAAGTTATAATGATTAAAATTGAAAAAAAAAAAGAAGAGAGAAACTGTTATGAAAGCGAAAAAAATACAGCTTCGATTCACATCTTGAGTACACAAATAATTCTTTCTATAAAAGGAGCCATTTAAGTAAAAAAACCTTTCATTGCGCTGGCTGAATTGTAAATCGTTTCAGCAAACAGTCTAACGACCATAAAATTGTACTTAACTCCTTCCATTTTTATGACCTACACTCAGTTAATTTAGATTCCCGAATTCAGACCAAATATTTATTACGCTTAGCCAATAAAAAAAATCCTGTATCAAACTCATTTGTTTTGCATTTTTCACTCAAAGAAATTTTAACATTGTATAGATTAAAAATAAACTGGGACTATAATGAAATGAGGTATAAATAAGAAATATATAACCAGTGCTGTACTGAATTATATGATGAAGTATAAAGAAACAGCCAGTTAACAGAAGACTTACAAGTATCCAATTCATAACGTAGTGGTTGAAAAAGAAACATTATTTGTCAAATGTTGTCTTCTCCACAGACACAATCAACAAGAGTTAGTTATTTCATCTTGCTTTTGAGCAATTTTACTCTTTGCTGAAACACACTCGAACAGCTAAATAATGTGATAGATTAAGTATATCTGATTTTATGACATAACCCTACTATTGCTGACTGTAAAATTAAAACCAGAGTAACTATTGTATACAATAACAGCTGTGGTAGTCCAGCAGCAAACTTTGGTCTGGAGGGGCTAAAGTTTGATGCTCAAAAGCTGCAAAGAAGCTAGGAGTATCTGCAATATACATGTAAGTAATATCTGTGGAATTAAAAGTTCTGTGGTTGGTTATTGAGCAATACCTTGGGTACAGAGATCTGGTGATAATTTCCATTCCTCAGATATATGTCTAAATTGTGTCCAGGGGTTTTTGAGCTAAATCGCACCTCAACCTAGAGGTGCTCTCTTGTCAAGCAAAAAACACTCCAGACTTAATTTGCAAGGCCAATGACTAAGGAGCTTGGCTTGCCATGTGCCATTCAAAATTTTATTAATCCACAACAGTTCAAAATAGTGACAATTTTAATAGAAAATTAAAATAAATATAAATAGGAAGACTATAGAAATTGTTTTCCTATAGAAAAAATGTAATTTGTAATAACTTTTTATAAAATTTTTGTACAAGATAGAATGAATAAAATATTAGCAATAACTTTTATATTCTAACACCCAATATAAATTTTGATAATTTGAATTAAAATATTCATTTTATTTCTATAAATATTAAATCTCCTAGACTAGTTTATAAACCTGTTAATGGACATTTACTTACTTTACGCTGATTTTTGCAAGCTCTAAAAATTTCATAATACAATTACAGTCAACAATAATTATCAAATAACTAAACACGAATACTCACGAGGAATTGATTGTACAAAAAGTAACCTGTTTACAGGGTTGACACAAGAATATAAAAATATTATAATTTCTTAATTCTAAGAATAATTTTCATTAATAAAGTTGTGTACTATATTTCACTAAAAGCAAAAATTATTTATGTCGTTACCCAGGAATACTGTAAAAGAAACTTTGAGAAAAATTCGATTAAAAGAAATTCAGCAATCAATCTAAGAAATTTTTTTTCCAACTCTTTAAATATCATACATTTTAACTATGTAGATTTTTCCCCCAATTGATTCCTAAGGATAAGAGATTTTCATTGACAGACAACTTCAACAGCTGTTAAGTGAGAAATTTTCTACAAAAGTTGCAATTGTAATGCATATGAGATGGTTGTCTGTTAAGCATCATCAAATAATGCAGAAATTATAATAGAGTTTAATTCTTTTAATTTTCAAATGACATTCTGAATGAATGTAATTTTCTGAATATAATTTTCAAATGACATTCTGAAGAACAAATTAAGAGTCAACAATAAAAAATATTATTTCAAATCATTAATTTAGAGACTAGTTAAAACAAACTTCTTAAAATGCATTTAAGTTAATACAAAAGTTAAATGCGAATTGAAATTAAGCATTAACTGACACAAAAAGCATAAGTTTATTTGTTTTGCATTGTTAATTTTACTTATATGTGCCACTTAAAACAGATTAATTAAGGGTAAGGTTGTAAGGTGTAATTAAGGTTTAGAATTGTTTAGTTACATAATTAAGTCTTCAAATGGCTTAAAATTAAAGAAACAATAAATATGAAATAAACAATAAAATTCCTATTAAGTATTACATTGTTTATATAGTGCTATCATTAAACATGTTTCATTTAGATGATTTGAAATTTGAGAGAAAAAAAAAACATTCTGTTTTAGACAGAAATGATAGGATCTGCATAAGAGGATTTAGATTTGAGCTTAGATTTGAGTTTAAGAGCTCAAAATATCACATATATAGAAATTATATAGGAATAAATAAATGCTATTATGATGTAAACATAATTTCAATATTTATAAGAAATCTACTTAAGTTAAACCCATTTCAAAACTGTTATACTCTTGGCATCCTTTCAACAGAAGTTACTGTTACATGAAAATTACATTTTTATTTTCAGAATGAGTTTGTAGGTTCTGAAATTGCTGCTCAAAATTTTTCAGTGTTGAATTATTAGCTTTTAAATACCTCAATTATTATTTCTACTAGCAATATTTAAGATTTTTCTTTAGTATCGGAACTCTTAGATTACAAGAAAAAAATTAAATTATCATAAATACAAAAATAGTAAAAACAAAGATAAGAGATTTTTTAGTTTTCTAGCAATTAGAATTATACAACTTTTTATCGCTCAAATTTTAGATAAAATTTTCAATTAAATTGAAATTTTCAAGTTCAATTTATGTAAAAACATTTCAATAAAAAACAAACAGTTTAAGGAAGAATTGAGACTTTATTATACAAAATATATATTACTAAATATATATATAGATCAGATCATGTGGATGAACAGGATATATATATTTTGCAACAATAATTTAGAAGAAAAAAAAATAGCTAAATTGTCCTGAAGATGTGTCTAGGAGTTGTCCAAAAATTTTAACAAATAAAAACATCTAATGAGGGTCATGATAGGTAAGTTAATGCAGTCAAAATAAATATCTCTTCATTAAATTGATGCCTAAATCTGCATGTATCAAGAACTTGAAGCATCGTCAGCAACACGATCCACACAGTTCAAAAATGCATTAAAACCGGAACTGCAACGGGAATAGTCGTTAGGATTGGATCTCTGACATCTTTCGTAAGCTCGATAAATAGAATCGCATTTTCTTTTTACTTTGATCATAACAGGACTGTAAAAAAAATAAAACAAAAATATATTTTAAAAGAGGCAAAACATTAAATGTATAAATTTTAATAAATATTAAGAAAATTCCAGAAGTAAATTATTTTTGATGATAACTTAATTGTAAAGAAAAAAAAATAAAGAGACATAAATGTGTAGAAAATAGTATTTTCACTAATTTAATTGAATCATTATTTTGATTTGATAAATGAATATTTAACGACCTTTAAATCTGTATTATCCTTAATTTATATATACATTCTGAATATAAAAACAATATTGTTTAAGTCTTGCTACTTAAAAATCCTCAATTTTTATTCAGTCTAGTAAACAAATGGTACAACATGTATTTTCAGACAATTTTTCTTTACTAGTATATGAAGAAAGTTTATTCTATAAAATTAGAACTGTCACTCAATTGAGGGAAAAAAGTCTAAGATTTAATCCTTAACTTAAATCTGGCGAAATGTCTCTTAATTCATTGTTTTTGCAAATCAAAGTAGAATAAATCTGAATCGATATAATAACCTCAAATGCAAAAATCTAATAACTAAATTAGAATATAGCTTAACCTGGCAAAAGTTTTTACAACTTGTCCTGCTCGTGATTTGATTCCTTTTTACATCACTTGTTTAAGGAGAAAAAACAAAAGTAGGTTTAATAAGAATTAGCAAAGATATTTCTAATAAATAAAAATACTGCAAAATTTTCACTTGTCATTTTACTGGGAGCAATAGTTTAGTATCGCCAATCAACTTAGCATAAAAAAATAGAGCAGAGTTAAAAAGACATTATTACAGAAAAGAAGAATGATTAAGAAAAAAAAGAATGATTTTATGTGCAGTAAAATTTTTATTTAACCCTTATCAAAACTAAACATTTATAAGCCCTTTTTTTAGTTATTTAAAATAAGAAAATGAAATCACACTTAGAAAAAAAGTGAACAGAAAATTAATTGCCATGGTTAGAATAATTAATTCTTTATTTTTTAAAACAAATTTTTCATAGTTCAAGAAAGCTTTTTTGACCATATAAATTTAAATTTAGTCTCATTCAGAATTTTCTCTTTACTACACAGTATATCTAATTGGAAATTATAATAAAAAGAAAACATGCATATAAATTGTTTAAGCAGTGGAAGTTCATAATTGCATTTTGTTAATTTTTAGTTGCATACTTTACTGATCAGAGGGGGAAAAAATGCTTTATGTTACAGTAAATACAAATTTATCAAATACTACCTAGTTTTCCTGATGCAGATCATATCAGGACCTGATTATAACATGAACAATCAGACCCTGAAATATGTTTTGGTAATTAAATGAAAAATATTGAAATTTAGGATCAATATAGTAGATATAAAATAAAAAATAGCTGCAATATCCTTGAAGTATGTACATATTTTCCCCTTCCCTACATGTATCACTTAATAATCGGTTTGCTGCCAGATTATTGGTAAGAAATTCTAGAACAAAGGCTTAGGAGATTTCTCTAATTTAATAATAAGGAAAATAATAACCAATAATATCAATCTAAATGCTTAAATAAATAAAGTGGTTTAAAAAAATACTAAAAAAAATGTCATAAATTGGATTCTGGCTCATAATTTTTATTTTCACATTACGAAATTACAAAATTTATGTAGTTTTAAATTTCTATTAATTCAGTAGCATGTAATTTTAAATTTCTTTAAATTCAGTCACATGAATTTTAATAATCTTGGTGTACTAACACCAAGATTATTAAAATACAAATGGGTTTGGTTGTGAGGACAAAATAAAATAACTACACAAAGGTTTGTTTCTCAACAGGTTGAAACCAAAGTGCAATTTTAATTCCAAAACAAATTGGTAACAGGATTTTTCTACTTATTCTCAATAGTTTGTGAAAGTTGGTAAAAAATGTTTTCCCTACATAAATTAGAAACTTTATGCAAAGCATTACAGTGGATTTCTTTATAATTTAATAATAAAGAAAATAAAGATCAAAATAACTAACTATAGAGAAAGAGAACTTTACAATAGACCTCTTTTTTAAAAATCTTAAATAAAGATACTTATTTCATTAAAAAAAATTTATAGTGTTTTTTCAAGAGAGATCTGAATTTAAGAAATAACACCATGATCTTAGTTCAGATCATATGCACAAATTACTTAAGTTATTTACACATAATGATATTCACAGACATGAAGCATTTAGTTAAACAAGCCTGAGATAGTTCAAAAAACTTGTAGTTTATATAATTACTCACTGCTTTAAAATATATAAATGTAAAAAATATTTTGCATAATTATGATTTGCTTTAGGAATCAGTGCAAAAAATTATACTTTAAATTTTAAAATATTCAACAAAAGGAAATAATTGATAATAAAACATTTTAAAATACAGTGGAAGATCTTTATAACAGAATTTTATAAATTGTCTAATTAATGTAGTTTATAGAGAATTACAATCTCAAAACCAAACCAAAACTGATAAATTTATGAAATTTCTAAAGCCTGTGGTAACTTAATTTTTGTCTTGTAAACAATTACTACTTAAATGTATATTTATGCATTTTAAAGTGTTTGTATACAAAAATTATAAACCATTAACATTAAGGCGTTTCAATCATATATTGCCTTGCTTAGAAAATAATATTGACGATAGGTTAATAATACAAAACAATACAGAATATAATACACAAAATTTTATAGTGCAAAACTCTATTGAAGATTTGCATTCTAAAGATCTTCAACTGTACTATCTTCTAAGTAGAAAATAATTAAGTTTTTGTTATGCTTAAAAGAAAAATGTAGGGCATATCACTTTCAAAAGACAGGGCAAGGTTGAGTGAATTTTCAGTGTGACATAACATGTTACGAAAGTGATGAAGATTAAATTATTTCATTTTTGGTGTGAAAAAATAAAACAATTTTTTCTTTTTTAGTCTACTTAAAAATCTTTCTTTTATTAAAATTTAATTTCTTTCTTGTTAGTTTCAGACAAAATAGAGCAAAAATTTATGTACATTATCTTGGAAATAATTGTCAGCAGGTACAGAGCTTAGTTTTTTTTTCTTAAACTCAGATTGTTAATGTTTTTTTGGGTATTTCAAAAAAATTTCTTTTCCCAAAAAATATTTAGTTTTTTTCCAGAGAGAGAAAAAAAGACAAATGCTTTATTTACAGAAATATACACAACTACTTTAAAGCTTAAGTGTACATAGATTTTAAGTATTAGAGCATGTTTTTATGAATTGTATATCCACTATACTGTTTAAAATTCAATGTGTAATATTCATTTAAATGATTAATTGTTACACAAATATAAAAACTTATTTTCATTTTTCCTGAACAATTCAGCTCTGTACAATTACTCAAGACTATTAAGGCTAAACATAGTTCAGTTACTCAAACACTTAAGTTATTGATCTATCTCAGCCTAACCAAGGTCATTAAAACCTGTTTAGAATCAGTGTTTCCTTAAAAAAAGGACTGGAAAAGTAATCTGTCAGTAATTTTTTTTATTTAAAAATTGTTCTTTAAACAATGCATATATAACTTTTGTAAAACAGTTTTGTTATTAATTATATTTTGTTTGTACACTTCATAGATTGAATGAAATTTTTTTTAATAAACCCAAAATGACTTAAAAAAAAATAATAATCCCAGATTTAGACCTAGCCAACCTTGAGCGAATTACACAAAATTTTTTTAAAATTTAGCTAGAAGGGTTGTCAAAATTTGGAATATATACAAATTTTATATGAAGATTTATTCTTCTTATAGCAGTCCAAAATTATTGAAACTTATATTACCAGCAAGCAGAGTTTGTATAAAGACTAGCTAGTCGGAAAATGGTTTTTACCGTCGATTGACTATAAATCTATCCTGACTATAATTCTATCCAGCAATAGGATGACATAATTATTTTTATCAGTCAATAAGAGATTTTAACTAGGTATTGTCATTCCCTCCAAGGCTCTAGTTAAAATTAAGACGGACTTAAAAAAAAAAACAAGTTTATACCTAATAAAACCACAAGTATCAAGTTGAGTAATTGGCACAAAAATCATTTAAAAAAAAATTTCCTTAAAAGCTCATACCTTTCTAATATATCAATTACAATTATATTATCCACATTTACACAAAAATGAAAAGAAATGTTTAAATCAATGAAATATTTTATATTACTTACTGGGTTTCAGAACAACGAGCAAGTTCTTGTCTTTGATGAGAACAGGCAGTGTTCCATGTACTAGGATGCCTTTCAACACATTTACTATAACGTTCCATTAAACTGCCACAGTGACTGTTGACTATTTTCATTGCTTTTCCTTCCCTACAATATTAAAGTGAAAAATGAATGAAAAGAAATTTTTTTATTTAATTAATAAAAACAAAATACATTTTAAGGATAATAATAAATTTGAACAAATCTTATAAAAACAGGAAATTCTTTTAAACTTTGTGAACAGCTATGCACCTTATAATTTAATCCCTCAAAGATATAGGTCTTTAAAGAATTAACAATTAATTTTAATAACATAATTTGTATCAACAAACATTATTAGAGTAATTAAAGACGAGGCAAAGGAAATTTCATAATTTATCACTGATGACTATAAGTAAAATTAGTGACAAGTAAAATATTTATAATACAATTTTCATGGAAAAAAAATTGTGAAAAGCAAGTAAATATTTAATGAAATAGTAATTAAATATTCAATGACAACTTTTAACAAGAATATAATTATATTATACTGGATAAATTAAGTAATTAGAGCAATAATAAAAAAGCTGAACAAAAATAAATGGGTCATCAGTAATTTATTTGAACAGTATTGATACTCATCACTATAAAAAATATAAAATATTAAGAGTAAGGTAAACAAAACTATAACATGACTGCCTGAAATTTCGGGCAACAAGAAGCTTACATGTCTACTTTTGAAATTCATATAACAATATTATTTATAATATTTTGACATATGAATGTCAAATAACAAGCAGACCGCGCGTACTGGCGATTAGCAGATTTCGCGAAAAAGAAAGAATAAATACTGACGATTGCCAACGTCACTTACAAACTTCAAATCCAAGCAGCATATTTCAAAATAGAAGTTAAAGTTACATTCTTTTTATAAATAATTTTTAATAACAATGACAAATAAGCCTTTATGCAATAAAAATTTGACTGATTTATTAACTTTATCTAAGAATATAGCATTTTTTCTAATGTTCAGTTTGATTTGAAGATTATTTTCTAGCTTTTTAACATTTTAGTTATAAAGCTATTACATAAAATAATCGTTATCGCGTCGACGGTCGTCGTTAATCGCTTATAAAGTTTATTTTAAATGTCAACAAGGGCGGTAATTTTAAAAAGTGAAATTTTATATTACAACGTGACTAAATATATATTTCTGAGGGAGTTTAATTTCTTTGTTAACTATTCATTTGTACGTATTGTTTTGTCCTTTCAAGTTCTTACTAAATAATTAAAGCATTCATCGAATATTTTTTAATTAATTGTTATATTCAAATACTGAAGTTCGTTACTGTGTTAGTTTCAATGTTATTCATTTTATTGTAGAATATTTCTTCTTTACGTTTTTGTTTAATGCTTTTTTTTATACTCTCGCATTATATTTTAAAATTTTTGAGAATGCATGATATTTTTTATTCACTTTGTAAAAATAGGTTTTGTTAATTTTGCTCTAACGTTTTTATATTTCAGTCTTTAAACAGAAAATTATTTATAAATGATGTTAAAAGTTGTAATTACGTTCTATGAAGAGAAATAATGGTGTCTACAACAATAACCAAGTGCGGCAATTTCATTTTTTTGTGCTTGACAGCAAATAATAAATATTTGAAATTTTTCTATTAAGTTTGAAATCAATCAATATGGAATTACGCTTTGAAAAAGAAATAGTTGCTAAATCAGTGAAACATTAAGCAGTTTCGTTGTCATCTCTCATTTTTTTCTTCCCTCTAATAAACTTTTTTTAAATAAACGAAGAGCAAAAACAAACAGCTCACCCTTTTTTAAAAATTAAAAAAGTTAAGCCTATATGTAATCAATGTTCGCTTGTTTTCATTCAGCTGCATTTTATTTAATAGTCAGCTTTAACCAAGTCAAATCAAGGCCTTTGACATGGGTCAGTTTTTGACACAATGGATAAAAACTGTCCTATGAACCTTTTTGTAATTGCATAAAAAATTTAAATTGCCTTGCATAATGCAGTGTCTTTGTTTCTAATTTTCTGTCTTTCAACAGTTTTAAAATTTTCAGAGTACAAAGTTTTTTTCTACTACAAATAATATTTCTAAAAAATATTAAATTTATCAAATATCAGCTGGAATTAATTTTGAATTTATTTCATAATAAATACTACGTTATTAGAAAATAAAATTAATTTTAATAATGAAAAGTTTAATTTTATAATATAAACAACACACAGTTTAACATTTTTAGCAATTTAAACCCGTTCTTAGCATTTAAATCATCTCACAAATCAGCCAACCCACAATTGAGTTGAAATTTTTTTTTTTAACTGTACAAAAAGCTTATTATGTGTTTTATAATATGTGATATATCTCAATTCATTGTGAATCATGATGACTGAGGGAATAATATAATATATGGGTTTAATATAATTATGATTAATTTTTTTGCTAGATAAAAAACCCATTCAATGACAAAAAAATTAACTTTAATACTTAGAAACATGTATTTATTTTAAACAAGTATTTATTAAAAAAAAAGTTGAAAAGTTGTACAGATATTTCAGCGGGATTTGTTTTTGTAGCCGGTAAGAGTTGTGAGTGAGGGAATGAGATTTCTTGGGTTTAAAAATTAATAAAAAATATTTCTTTCTAATAATACTTCAGATTTATGAGTTAATGTATTCACACATCTAACTTTAGGGGAGAAGGGGGCTAGTGTGGACAAGGGGTTAGTGTGGACACCTTGAATAAAATAAAAATTATTTTCTCAAAATTCTTTCTGTTAAGTTTTTCAGAATGGCAACATCAACACANATATAAAGATTTATTATTTGTCACTTCTGTCAATTTTTTGCTTCATTGGCTTCTTGATGGAATCTGGTTTTATTAAAATTGAACTATTATAACTGTATCAATAATAATATGTTAACACAATAAAATTAAAATATTCAGAAACAAAAATTTTGTTTTATTAATAAGTCTGAACAATTTAATTTACAGGTAATGGTTAGTTATCCATGCTTTGAGTCTGAAGTTGTCGTCTGAAACTGAAATATTATAGCTGAATGTTTAGTTGGTAAGTCTATTCTTTGTATTTTCAATTTGGATGTGCTATTTCTATAAAAATAAGATTAATTAGTTATGAAAAAAATTGCTTTGTCCTGAAATTTCCCAGTTTTATAATTAAACCAGGGTTTGCATGATTTAAACCTTTTGTTTTCTTTTGAAATTCGTCATTTATTTTTTTAATACTTTATAGCATTATTTATTAATGTATTCTTTACAATACAATTTTAATGTTTAATTCATTGATATCCAGAGTTTTATGTCGATAAATAATTAGAGATGAATGTATGTTATAAATTATTAAAAAATATGAAAATGTTAATAAAATTGACATGAAACTCCAATTATAATTTTCCTCTAGCTGAAAGTAAAATGTTTTGCTTTTTAATAAACATATTTCAATTATACCCCTTTAGAATATTCATTTAAGCAGAAGTAATATTTAAGTTATATTGTATGTAAGTTGTGTATATATTTAATCAAGAAAGACTTGTTTTGCTAAGAGTAATTTGAAATTATTTTTAATAGTTTGTATTAAAAATTTTATTAATTTGTCATAATTTAACCATTTTGGTTGGAAAAACATTAGATGATAGATATGGGAAAGTGACAAATGCGATTCAATATGAAATAATGATTCGAAAAAGTAGGAAAAGAAATAAAAATGCGCTTGAAAATTAGTAAATTTACAATAAGAATAAAATTATTTTATTTAAAAAACACTGAAAAATATTTAGGACGCAAAAGATTAATCAATTAATGCATTCATTTATTTAAATTAAATAAAAAAAAATTTGATATTTTTTTCTTCTCAACCCAAATAAATTCTCAGCATCTGTAACTAAAAGTTTCAACATTTCTGTTAACTGATACAGTAATATCAAACATGATATTCGAAGCATTTTCCCCTTACTGTAACAAATTCTCATTTTCTGCATTATTAACATTAGAGGTTACTGTTTTTCTCCACACAAAAAATAAAATAAATAACATGAATTTTTAAAAAATGTCTATGAAATCTCTGAATGATAGACGTGGGAATCTGCAAGTTTCAAAAACGATCCAAACTGATGTGAATAATATTTGTGATGAGACTGGTAAAGCAAGGAAAATTTAAGATGTGGGAGGGAGGGACTAAGGTTTGACTGTATTACCTATATAGTAATACTTTTGAATTATATTAATAGGGCCCGTGCTACCCATTCGCCACCTTGCCAAATGTGGTAAACTCGTCAATTCAGCAAGAAAAATTTTGTTTTAAGAAAGTATTGTCGAATGATTTTTTCTACCGAAAGAAAATTATATGTTCCCCTCAATCCAGGTACAAAAGGTCAAAGGGAATTTTTTTGATCAAATCCTGTATTTTTGTTCGATTACAGTAATTTCCCTTAGATGCGTCACATAATTAATTACAATTATATTAAATCCAGATATTGTAAGCATCAGCAACAAACTGCCGTAAAATGCTGATTAATATGTTAGTTACTGGACGAAATTCTTTCCTACAATAAAGTGTCAATAAAACAGATTAAATGGTGGCAAGATGAATAATCATCCAACTATTTTTGTAGAAAATATATTTTCTCATGGCAATAACATATCAATAATGCAACAACATAACATTATTTAAGGTTTGTCCTTATATTACTGCTCTCTAGCCTAAGAGGTACAATAAAAAATTAATGCCAACCTATTCCTATGTCTTTCCCATTCATTGCTTATTTACTTTTCCCCAACTACAAATTGACTCTTGATTTGAATTTTATAAAAAAAATTTTTTTACTTACAGTAAATTTTTATTTTGATTTATTTTTTAAGGGAATCATACGAAAATAAGTTTTGCCTTTGGCTGAGAATTTTGAAAATTAGCTACTACTTTTGATGTTTTGCTAATTTACTGGCTAATAATTTTGGCATGGGCCCTGAGTAAGCATTGTTTTAGAATAAAATTATAATTTTTTTAATGTGCTTTGAGAGTTAAATATATCTATAAAAAAATTTAATTTTGATAGAAAAAAAATCAAATTTATTTTTAAAATTGTGATTTTCATCCGAGTTTCTTTGAAATAAGCTCTAATTAAAAAAAGCTAGATTCATTGTTAAAAAGCCAAATCAAAATATAAATGTAACCCACTTCCATTTTTAATAACAAGCATGTAAAATTCAGAATATTAAGTATTTACCTAACCTCTTTGCTGCAGCTGGCACATAAGGCCTCAAGTTTTTTATCTCCAGACACCCATGTCCTGAGCCAGTCTTCTTGCCTCCACTCATCCATTTAATTTTGCTTTATATAGAACTTGGTGCAGGTATTTTTGCCAAGTAAGTCTTGGCCTTCCTCTTTTACGTTTTCTATCGGGTGCCCAAGTAAGTGCAATGTTAGTAGGGCTATCCTGTTTTAGACGAAGGAAGAATTTTTAGTATATTGTAGTTCTGCAATTTTCTGATAGCATTACAAATGTTTTTTATAATTAAATAATGAGAATTAGATGCTCTGATGAAATTGCAATGAAAAATGGGTCGCCCAGCAGCTATTTGCCCTGAAAATACTAAATCTTAGTATAACTTTGGTCAACAAGCTGATGAAAGAAATTCTTGGGTCATTCGCCATTACTGAAGATTAGCAAGCTGTTGTCTTAGGAGTAACAAATTGTTTATTGTAACTGTTCAATTATTTGCTCTTTCATTGGCCCAGAGAAATAAAAGTGCAATAAATAAATGGCTTTTTCCTGCTGGGTTATCTGGGTTAAACCAAACGGTTTTTTTTTCAAAGAAAGTTTTTTTTTAATAAAA